CCCCCCCCCCCCCCCATTACAAAGCGTAGTGACTTCAGAAGAAACTTTTCCCTTCTTCTCTCCAAAAGCTAAAAGAAAACCTGATGTTCTTCTTTTAAAATGTGTCTGCCTCTAGGTCTTTGGCACAGGTTTACTGATGGGAGGGCCGGCAATCTATTTAATGACTGCATTGACGTCAATAGCATAACTGAAATACTTACTAAGATGCATGAGTCCAACTTTCAGGGGGGGTGTGTTTGCAGGCAGGCACAACACACGAAACGGACTCTTTGTGGGAATGAACTGCCCCCAAAGAGCCAGAAACGGCCTCTGGACATCCCCAGCATGGACAAGCCACACTTCTTTTTTTCTGCAGGTCACTTTTAAAGTTCACTTTGAAACACACTTTTTAATTTCTCGAGCAGCAGGAGTCACTTCACCGTTCACCAGCCTTAAGGTCACTCAGTCACGTCCTTCAGCTGATATCTGTATGATTTCTTTTACAGTTCTGCTTAGTTTCTAAATAGTCTGCATCATTCCAGCACTGCATCCTTCAAAAATAATATTTGTAGGTAATAATATTTACAGCCCGCAGCACCACTGTATTCACTGTGCACAACCAGTTGCTTTTTAGCTCAGCTATTGGATAACACAGGGTTCCTCTTGCACTCCTGTTAAAAGCCTAAAACACCGCATCTACATGACTTGTGCAGTCTGTCTCAAAACCAAAAGGCCGGATCTTCAGCCAAACTCACAGCAGACCAACACAATTTCAAAACGAATCCTCTATTTCGTATGTGCCCAGAGCCATTCTCCGCACGCCAAGCAGAGGAAGGATGGTGCAAGAGCACTAGCTCCACACGAATTACTGGGGATTTATAGATATTCGTAACCAAGAGCTGACTTTGATGCTCTGAAACAGGGCTTGTTAACTCCCACAAAAAGTCGGGACTCTCATTAGCACGAGCACCAGTATTATCCAGTCTTTTGTTTATGCTTTATACAAATGTTCGTGCACGAGTCTGTGTACATCTTACACCCACATAAAAAAAAACGAAAGTACAAGTTTGGAGTTCGTGTAAAGGCATGTGAGAAGTGCAGACAAACGTGCAGATGTACAGGAAAGCAGAGGCTAAGGCACAAGCAAGAAAAATACCAACCTTTCACTCCCATCCCCAGAGAGGAATTTTAACAAAGCTTTAATCCCATGAGCCCTGAAAAGCCTGTGTGTGACATATCCCAAAGCGCTACACCCCCCCCAAAGCCTCGGGTTGCAAATCAGCTGTATTATATTGCTAGGTATATAATTAATTGTGAGGACAGACTATAATTATGCAAGTGTTGAAAGTATCCAAGGGGCACTCGGTTGCTGGCTCTTGAGAAAAGTTCCTGCACCCCCCTCGCAGCGCCAGGAAGCGCCCGACGCCGTTTGGCCCTTAACGCCGTGCTGTGCCCCCGTCAGCTGTCGCTAACAATTAAATGCAGCGGCTTATCAAATGAACCAGCATGGAAAAATAGTGTCCAGCTGGGGCTCGGCCTTTCAGCAGCCGCCTCTCCCCTGTCCTCCAGTTCATCCCGAGAAGCTTCTCGCTCCCGGTTGCGTCTTTCTGCAGAATCTCTGCGGTGGGGATGAGGGGGGTCACTTACTGCGGCGCCCGCAGGTAAGGCGACGGCGTGAAACACCTCCATGAGGGCAGACAAAAGTGAAGAGCAGACACGCAACCGCTGTCAAGCAGGGAGGGAGATGCCTCAGAATTGGGGATCTAAGCAAGTGGCACCGATCCTGTGCCCAGCTGGGAGAAAGGACGGCGTAAAACATGAAAAAGTCCGGGGAAAAATACAGAGGGAACAAAACAGATGGAGAAAAGATTGTACCAAAATGGGTGGAAGAATGAAAGAAAGGCTTAGGCTGAATGCGGCAGGCAGTGAAAGACGATTTAATTCAGAGGGAATTAGGGTCAGTGAAGTACATAAATATGGAGGAAGGAAAGGAACTAAGCAGGAACTGCCAGACTTGTTGCTGGTTAAAGATTTTATTAGCTGAATCAATTGGGGAGGAACTAAAGACCCTCTGGTGATGCCAGGGGAGCTGAATCAAGGAGAGAAGGGGCTGACGGATTCACTGAGCACACAGTGGCACGGAGGTCAAGGAAAGTAACTGTGGCAGAGGCTGCAAATCCAAAAAAAGGAGAAGAGGAGAAAGAAAAGTCACCGAGACTTGTGTGACGACGTGTTTCTATCCTTGGTTCTGTGAGTCCAGAGGAGGCAGCTGGGCAGCACCCGCTGGCAGGCCCGGCCCGCCGCAATCACAGTGTGTAAATGCTCTGGACCACTCAGGAACTGGTGGCCTGGAGCATTCCCATTATCCTCCCCAGCTGGGAGGTACATCACCTAATCAAGGATTTATGTACTTTTTGCTACGGCTTCATATTTCCATGTTATGGTTTCTCAATTCATGAAACGGAATGGACACAATTTTGTCCATTCCTGTGATCTGCAGTTATGACAAAATAACAGGAAAAATCTGCCAGATTTATTTAAGCTGATACTAAGGACAAAACACAGGATGTTCAATACATATTCCTCTTCCTTTTATGGCTGTGGTTATAAGATTAAGAAAGCTCTGAAATTTACAGTGACATCAGTATCAGATTTGAAAGCACTACGTCCCACGAAAAAAAAAATAAAAATGGCCAGAATTTTTCCTACTTTCAAGAAAATGAAAGCAAAAAAGAAAAAAGCATGTCATCACTGCAACACAGCTCATTCATTTTGCCACGGGCCTGGGTCCTCAGTGATGTAACTCCTTGGGAGTACACGAGCACCAGATTTGCCTCCTCTTGGTTTGAAACAACTGACAAATCCTGTAACGTTCGAGCTGGAGTAAACAGCTGGCATGTATTACCTCCAGTGCAAATGCTGACTGTAATTTGTCTCCCTCCAGGGTAATTTTATTAATGTATGCTAGTTTGCTTTAAACCCTGAGTTCTGTACTTTTCATAACAGGATATAAATCACTCCACTAATGACAAATAAAAGGAGACATATATGAGGTGCTCATACTGATGTCAATTGATTGTGGTAAATCTATGAATCAATGTGTGACATGGGAGAGCTAAAATAAAATTCCGAGCTTTGCCGATTAACCAGTCTAGAGGATATAAACACGTCGCAGTTCAAAACACATTCTTTTATCTAGAGAGATGTAACGCAGCCTAGTCCCAATCAAAACATTACTGTTTCCTTCTCCAAAACTTTCAGGAAAAACACTCTGCATCCTTTCAGACACAGGAGCCACTGCCACATAGCTGGAAGTGTTCTGGTAGGAAAATCTCTCCTTCCTTTCAAAATTTCCATATCAGAAGCCATCTAGGGGAAAAAAGCTGCAAACACTGAAAAAAAAAATTCCCCTAAAAATCATTGTTGTTGCTGCATTTAAATGGAAACTTCCTTAGAAAGTAAACAGCCGTCATTGTTTCCTGCTACACCGAGATGAGTTGCAGTGTGTAAGAATGGCTGTAAATAGGTAAAGGAACCGGAGTGATGAAGGGAAGGGCTGTACAGCGGGACTGCAGCCATCACGGGGAACGTGAGAGGCTCTACAGCAACCTGGAACGCGCTCCGGGGGCCACCAAAGTCAACGATACGGTCAGAAATTCAGAGAGGTCCTGGCTTACACGCTGAAATAGCACCAAAAAAAAAAAAAAAAAAAAAAAAAAAGTAACTGCAGGATAAAGTAAGACCGGCACTGTTCACTCCAGCTCTGTCTCCACGTGAGCACGGGCTCCCACGGCAGCGAGGAGGTGGTGTCGGGGCGCTGGCCTCGCCGAGAGGAGCCCATCCTCTCCCCCAGCTACAGCCCTCAGCCTTGCAAAAGACCCAACAAGCTGTGGGTCCGGCAGCTCGCTCAGGCTGTTTTTCAGAGCCTCCCTTCCGCGTGTCAGAGCTGCTGTCCCTTCTCGGCGAGGCAAGAGAGAACATCTTATTGCCGGCCAGGGAGGGATTGCTTCAGCCTAGAGACTAGATCCTGGGAGAGCTGGGAAAATTCATCCACAAAAATAATCTGGAACTGAATTTAACTAAGAACCCCGGGCTTTTCCACTTATAGTGTCAATATTGGCTTTTTTCATGTAGGAAATAACACCATAGCAATCTCAAAACTATTTCTTATTCTTATCTACGTCCTGTCACAATTTACTTCAGTTGTAATGATACGGGTGCTATTTTTTGTTTCATTTTGAGACTCCACCTCAAGTCAGTTAAGATTCGTGGTTAAGAACTCCTTCACTTGAGGGGCCACAAATTCTGCCAATAATTCTCTACTTTTTACCGCTGAGCTGCACTTTTCTTCCACAGTCCTTCTGTTACCAAATAAAAATCTGCACGCTGAAAATGCACCCAGAGTGGCTCATTTCCACATCTGGGCATTTTCTTTTTTCACGTCTCAGGTAAGATGTTAATACAGTTTATTTTAGATACGTTCACCAATCCACAGGTAATTACTAGCAGCGAAACATTAAAGACTATGAGTCAGGATCACAAGGTTAAAAATGCTAAAAGTTGGATTCTTCGGCATTTCTTTATCTTTTTGAGCTTTGCAGGGTAACACTAAACTCGTTCTACGGTTACATGTGTCAGACCCTTCAATCAAAAAGGAAGAAGCTTTCATGTATTCTGCATTAGAAGCTTGAGTTAGCTAAAAAGTAACAAGTATCCTACCACTCCTAAATACTGTAGAAAAATATTTACAAAGTGTTAACAAGTTGAAAGCGATTCTTTCCACAGAAAATATTAATCAAATTAATCTAAAAAATTCCTGGAAGGGAATTCTCTCCTCGTTAACAGACTCTGTAGCTCATACAAACAGGTCTATGGAAAGTTTATGAAATTTTCCGTGATTTTTTTTTCCACACAGGCCACAGAATCAAGGTCTTGCTAGAACAGATTCTTAAATAAGGTGACGGGTTGCATTCCTGCTCGCCCTGACTCGACACTGCTCACACAGAGGGAGTGAAGAAGAAGGCAGGTCAAGATCGGGATGTCCAGTTGTGTTTCTGCCTCAGAGGTTTCCACATCCCATTAACAAGTTTTGAGGAACATAATCTGGAAGTCTCCAGGACTATACGTGTCCCCAGACAGTAAATAACACATGGCACGAAAGGAAACAATCCTTAGCTATCCAGGTTTCACACACCGTAAAAATTAACCTTTATTAGTCCCTCCAAGCACATAGTTGTGGGAAAGGCTGAGATTAAACCTTACAAATGGGCACTCCTCTAAATCTTATCTCCTTCTGTGTGGGAGTAACCTTTAAATTAGCGCAAGGTCTGTTCTAGAGGGGGTCCCAGGGGCTGTACGCAGCGCAGTGCCCGCCGCCCCCCGCCCGGAGGCTTTGCTCGCCGTTACTCTCCTCCACGACCGTCGTCAAACCTACTTGTGTTTGCTGCCCTGACACAGGGGTGAGGACAAGGGGACCGAGGAACCTCGTGCGCAGGGGGAAGCAGGCAGGGAAGAAGATGGGATCAGCCACCCTCCCCGACTCCTGCTCGTGCTCGATGGCTAAATGTAGATTTCAAAAGACCGCACGCAAACAACAAAATGCAAAAAAACACCATCCCAGGGCAGCCTAAGAAAAGCAGAGGAAGTTCCACCTGAGAAAGGTTTTTGAGATTGCAATTTTTACAGAGATCACCTGGAAACAAACTGAAATAAACAGGACAAAAAACCCTACAGCTGTGTCTGAGCCTGTTCAAGGCTTGTTGGCTGGGGCTTGTCCAGGCCTGTGCAGCACAGGGACTCAGAACAATAGCAGTCACTGTGGCCATGACTATCAAACCAAAATCATGTTCCTCTTTTATGCTAACCTACAGGGATAAACCCCAAACCCAAACTATTAAAACAACAATACTTTGGGCCTGATGGCTCCCTCGTATTGGTTTTGCATGAGTAACTCTGCAGAAGCTCCACGAGCCCAGAATCGCACCGAGGGGAGGGGGCAGAGAAGCAGCTGTTAGTAAAATGATGGGCAGTAAGTGTCCTCTGCGTTTGACCTCGCAGGTGATTATCAAAGTCACGCACGTACCTTGCAGGTTAACTCTGGAGACAGGTGGCTGGCTCGTTGCTGGAGATCTCCTAAGAGGGATAAAGAATATAAATAGGTAATATTTTATCATTTCAAACCCCGTTGGCAGTTCAAACTGCCAACTCCCACAGTTAAAAATCCTTTTCCGTGCTCACAAAGAAGTCCAAAACACTTTCAAAAGATTGGGGCTGTTAAGGAGCAGTATCAATATATCTGTTAGGAAAACCCAAAGGTGTCTGTCCCCTGGCTAGGCACACACCCATGCTGGGAAGAAGGTACACCAGGAAAGATGTGCCATCATCCCACCCCGCCTTTGCAACTTTCTGCTCAAAATATGCCTGGAAGCCAGCAAGGGCCTCCTCTTTGTGGCTGAAGGGGTCAGGGGATCCCCCAGGATCAAGACTTTCTCCTGAAAAGCTTTTCCCTGCGAGGTCTGGACTGGACCCCGAAGCACTGGGAGGGTGCAGGCTGCAAGGCAATGCCACAGGTAAGGTGAGAAATGTTTGGCTTTGAACCCTGCAGTTTGAATTGCACCTGGAAGCAAGTAAGAAGATGCTGCAGTCACTAGTGTAAGCTCTGAAACAGCCGAAGGACCTTTTTTCAACTAGGAGCACCAGTTTCATCAGAAAAGTCTGGATTTCGGAAGGACCAAAAGCTATTTGAAGAATTGGTCCAAGTCAAGCAAACAGGGTCTGACTGGAAAAAGGGTGCAGTGTTTCTCCAAACGTCATAATATTTCATTGTGACATTTGCCAAATAAAACTGTTAATTTTTCAAGCTGAAACCATAATCTACTCGGGGAAAAAAAAAAAAAAAAGAGACTTGCTTTTTTAGAGAAGTTAACAAGAGTTGACATCAAAATCAAGATACTTCATTTTGGACTGAATGCAGTACTTCAGGCTGACCAGAAATGAAACTTTGGGCTTTTGCTTCCCTAAGAAGTGTCTGATACATTTTAACTGAAGCCAGATTTCCCCACACTCTCTCTTAGCCAACCTCATAACCCCAATTTTTTGAGTCAGCCACTGAACTGAAACATCCATTATTTGCCAGCTCTCCTTTGAAGCTAAAATCAAAGCGAGCAAGCGGCTCAATTCTGCTGCAATTGTAGCTCCAGGGGGTTCTTCAGAAGTGCTCCAGGAAGGCCTCGCTAACCAGGTAAGATCCGCGTCAAGAGTAACAGCTACAGACCCTCAGCCCCAGCCTCCCGGTCTCTGCCGACAGCCCCAAACCCTCCTCCTCCTCCTCTGCCTCCCCCAGGCTCAGCACCCGCTTCCCAGCTGGGATTCCAAAGGCTCGGCTTTTCTGGAAGGAGCTGCAGGACCCAGATTCTTCGAAGGGTTCAGCACAGGGCGCACACGTTGGATGCCGACTTCTCTGAAAATCTGCCCCGACCTGCCTCTGCTGAGCCTTTGAAAAGCCAAATCTTGAAATCTCTCAAAAACAGAAACTCCCCAAGAGGGACACCACGCCGCGGCTGCAGCGCTTCCAGTATCTGGGGAGACGTTGCTCCAGGTATCTCCAAACCCAGCTCGGTGTTGCACAGACATGCCTGGGGGGGCGGGGAGGGAGGGTATTCCCCGCTGTGGAGCCTGCGGAGCGAACGGGCCCGCTCCCAGCATCCTCCCAGTGGCCTGGCCATGCTCATCCCGGTTTCTGCGGCAGCCAGGGCGCAGGCTGCAGAGACCCGGGGATCTGGGTCAGGACAGCGCGTTCCTCTCTTAGACACCACCACACTCAGGCACCCACGGCTCCCGCTTCCCCTCCTTCCCTCTTGTCGGGGGTTATTCAGCACAGGAGCACCCGACGCTTTCTGACCATGTCCTGGGCCCCATCTGCCAACCTTGGGCACTCTGAAACCATTAATCATACTCTCCTCTTTTCCAATCAGGAAACTGCCTTAAAACCCCTGACGTTAAAGTCAAAAAAAATATGACTTCTAGTTGGTTTTTTTTCCTCCAGCCCTCAACATTCATATTTTCCAGCATTTCTGTAAATATGTGGGACAGCATCCTCTTTTTCTTTCTCCGGCCAGGAGGGGTGGAGGAGGAGGCAAAAAGAGGGGAGAGGAGGGGCTAAAGAAAAGCTGAGATTCTCATGATCCCCAGAGCAAAAATTTAAGTAAAATACCACATATCATGAGACGTATGATAAAATCATGAGCTGGCAGCACGGCTGTAACCCAGCAGAGCTGCTTGGAAACAGTGTGGAAAGCTCCGCAGCGCCTGGAAGCACATTCCGCCACGGACTTGGATGCTTGGTATATAATGGTTTAAACATTTAACGACTTTTGCTTTGGCTTGGGCAAGTGACTTTATACCTCAATCAAATCTGGGAATGTTTTCAAAAGGACACTGCAAGATGCCTGTGTGTCCTACAGGTTACGCCCTCGCTTCCTTCCGGCCCCGTCCAATTTCAGATTCCTCATTAGGAACTGCTGAAATGCTTGAGCTGTTCAAAAAAGCAAAGCTTTTTTTTAAAAAAAAAAAAAAAAAAAAAAGGTAATCTATTTCAGCCATCTGTTTTTCTATTAACCTCCATCTTGGAATGTGGCGGTTCCTTCCCATCAAAATTTGCAAACAGAAATCAACGGGAGGAAAAACTCACGCCGGGATAAATCACTGGGCTTTAGGTAAAACACAAGACTGTGTTGGGAGGTGGGAAGCAGAGCCCACGGTGGGCACCCAGGCGATGCCACTCACACGTGTGGAGCCAAGGGTGTCCCACCAGAATGGATTTCTGCACCTCATCCTTCGCTTCGAGCGAGCAGCGCCTGCCAGTCCCGGGGTGGGATGGGTGGGTGCGAAACCGACGTCGCCAGGAATGAATGATGTTGGTTTTACTCAAAACAGCTCTCTTGGGGCAAAACAGGCCAGAAAATGACGATGGCTGGCTCATTATAAATAGCTAAGGGGAAACGGTGGTTCCGGACAGAGGCGTATAAAGGAGTTTGTTTGGTTTCTCCTCTTCAGCAGGTATAAAAAACAACATCCTCCTCTTAAGTTCGGGGCATCACCTTCCCCTCTCAGTGCAATTAGTGTCAAACGAAGCGACCCAGGCCTGCAGGCAGCACAGGCCAGTTCTGTGGGCAGCCCCCAAGCCGAGCCGCTGCCTGCCCTGCCACGGAAACCCTCACCGTCCCCACAGCCTCGTGCTTGGGGTTTCCCTCCTTGGCGTGACCGTCTCTCTTGTGAAACATCGGTGGAAACGAAGGGCAGCACTGCAGCTCAACCCAACGCCTCCGCGCCGAGCTGGGCTCCTAACGAGCGCCTGGGCCAGCCACGGTGGCAAAGAGAGGAAGATCCCACACCACATGCCCCCACTGTGTCCAGAAACACACCACAACCCCTTCCCAAGCTGAAATACATCTCCTCCGGCTCACCGCACTCTCCCAGTCTCGTGTGAGGGGTGGAGCGAGCCACACACAGCACGGCAGTAGCCCGGGGCTGGTGGGCTCTGAGCGTGGGCTACCACAGTTCCCCAGCTATCGTCGCTCTTGCTCGGACCCCGCCAGCCCCTGTGGTGTGTGAGCCATGAGGGAAAAAAAAACCATGGGCTTACTTGTTGGACGTGCCATGCAAATTGGTAAGGAGCGTGAAGTTGTTCCTCACGCTTCGTAGACTGGCCAGAACCTACAGAGGAGGCAAAAATGGAGATGTTATCTTCTCCACCTAAGGTTTTATGTGGTTTGGGTTTTTTTTTTCAATTTGAGAGGCCATCAGGCTGCCAACTCACCTGGGCGAAAGGTGTGACAATCAGGTCGTCCCCATGCCTAAGGAGAAATGGAGAAAATGTGTAAATTTACCTCAAACATTCACCCCAGAGAAAGAGCATTTTATAGAGGGAGGTTCCCCCAGGCAGCGCCCACCAAAACCAAAAAAAAACATTAACCCATACAGCATTTATTTAACACTACATAAAATCTTGTTCCTAATGGAAAGGTCTCTCAGTGTATATCCAAAACAACCTGGCTGGAGCGACTGTTCAGATTGGTAACGCCAGGCAATAAAAGCCAGGAAATTCAAAAGTTAAGGCAGCCCGCTTGCACCGCGGTGGAAAAAAAACCCATAATGGTCTGGGGAAAGGTCAGCTCTGAATTTCCTGGCTTTTGTTGATCTCTGTCTTTAATGTTATTCAGACGCTGGGTTTTGTCCGGCCGTTTTCATCATGGAAGATTTGAGCAGAAGTTCTGAGAAAAATACATTGTCACCGTCAATAAGAGAGGATTTTTTGGGGTGATATTATATATAGGACTTGATGCCCGCAGTGAACGGACACTTCTAACTGCAGGCAGCTCTGAAGCTGGGGGGAAGGTGGGTGGTAGGCACCGCTGGACGGGGCTTTCCCCACCCCAGCACAGCTGGCTCCTCCAGCACACTGCTGGGAACACGGGGCAATTGTTAAAATCCACTGTTTACAGAAAAAATGGTATTTGCATAAGTTGGAGTGGTGACTGTCTCTGGTAAATATTTACTAAATGCTAACTAACAGGGAGGGATGTCCTCGTTCAGGAGAATTCTCCTCATGGATCTCGCTAATATTTAGATTTTTATTTCGTGACAAAACTTGTAGGGCTTTCGTAACAGTTAAAACTTTTTTTTTTTTTTTTTACGAGCACTTTTTTTTTTTTTTTTTACAGCTTAATGGTCACTTTAAAACTTTAAACTGTGCCTTTTAAAATAAAGGGCTGCAAATCCAGGACACTCATTTAAGCTCCACGCTCTGTGTTGTATTGATCCTCTCAAGCTCAACCATCTGTCTCGGCTTTCTGCTGTGTTTTCCGCTCAGTTCTAGTGAACAACCCATGACAGAAAACAGGATGGGGAAGAGTAATACTGGAAATATAAGTACAGTCATAGTTGTGCTGTCCAGGCTAATGGAGCGTTACCTACCTACGAAAAAGCCGAGCTGATGCTCACCGGGCTCTGAGGACACACGGTGAGAGTATAACGGGAGAAAAGGCAGCGTGAGCAAGTTGGGTGCAGGAGGGACGGGGCTGTCCCGCCGGAAAATCCCGCTGAGACACGGGCAGCTCAGCGCTCCATCCCCCAGACACCGATTCCCACGGGAAGAGCTAGTCCCAAAAAAAGGAAAACGCAAGAATTCTCTGTTCTTTCAGGGTCCAGCTTTGGAAGCTCTTTTGCTAAATTACGGAGGAAAGGGGAATGTTTTAAGGACGGGATGGGGAGAAGTCGTGCCTTGGCAGACCATAAAAGCACCCGTCTTGGGCACACAGGCTGTGAAACGTGAGCACCACCCTTAAGCTCCGCTTAGCAGAGCTCTGAGGATTACAGGGGGCTGTGTAAAGCTCTTAGTTACCGTAAAATATGATACGATCTGAATTTCTGCTTACTGTTCGCTGGGGAGAGAGGAGTTCCTGGACATTGTCTTTGGTGATAAGTCATAGTCGCTGTCGGACCTGTACAGGAAGGACTCTCGGCGCTGGCTGTGGCCCGGGAACGTCGTGTGCAAGACGAGTCCCGACGAGGAGCCGGCCTGCGGGTCCAGTGGGCTGCGACCTGGGGATGGGCCATTTTCCACGTCGAAGCTGCGAACAAAACACGTATCGTGTGTCACATGCGTCTGACAAAAGGTGTTCTCAGGTGCACGTGTCAAGCTTGCGTTGCCCACTCAGGGCTACACTTAACCAGAGCCTCTCGCTGGCTTATTTTTACTGTATTCAAGCAAGACTCTGCCTGATGATAAAACCTTTACCCCCAAGGCTGCTTTCCTGCCTTCCTCTGCTCAGTCTTCCTCCAGCCTGGATTTCTCTCAGCTCAGCACAGCTCCTGTTGCTCTCAGCATGAACCCACAGCAGCTAAACACTGTCACCAAGCTCTGCCGCTCGCCCCCCGCCGCCCCCATGGCCGCAGCCTTCGCACCAGGCAGGGGGTTCCGTTTGCCAAACCTCACACCCAGCCTTACAAGCGTAACAGGGACTAAAGAAGCTCTGACATGCCACCATCCATCCCAGTCCCCATCTGCTCTGGAAGTAAATTTGTGGAGTCCTGCGAAATTGGTGAGGACTTGGCAGTTGTGCGAGCGGGATGCCTCAGTTTCTTTTCAGCCATAGCTCACGTCTGAGCCATGCGGGATATTAGTTCAAGTGAATTTCGAACAGATGGGCTGCAAAATGGAGGGCTGTTTAAAAAACGTAAAAAAAAAAAAAAAAAGCCCCAAAAGCCCCAAACCTTCTGTCACCGTTTCCATTATACACCCACTTTCTTACAGTTTCATAACTTGGCTGCTGCAACTCGTGGCTGAAGTCACCCTGGACACTTTAGCAAGCGACACCCCTCGTAAACCCTGAAAATAAGCAGGTTGGCCTCCTTTGCTTGGGCATTTGGATCTGATATAAATACCATATGTGTGACCATGTTCCAGCTAAGCCAAGTGAAGTACGGCCGTGTTCAGCATGAATTTTCTTGCCTTTGGAAGTCTGAGGAGTCATCTCACTTGCAGTAGGAGCCGAGTCCTCACTCCTACAAGGCCTCTCCCCGTTCCTGATGTTCTCCCAAGTCTGCTGTGCCTGATGACCGCCCTTAACAGCAGCACCCAGCCGGGCACGTGCTGGGACCACGGCCACAACAGCGACTGTGACCCCAGCCAGACATTTCCCCATCCCTCCCCGCCGCTGCCTGCCCCGACTCATCATATTAAGCCAAAATATCCCCCGGAGCACGGTGGTAAGGCAGACCCCGTCCCTCCCGCTGCTCTGCAGAGCACACTGTGTGCTTTGCACTACTGCAGAAGGAGGCGGATAAAGCATCCAGGCAAAAAAAAAAAAAAATCAGCAAAAGCTCTGAAAGTAACGCACACCGTCACAAAAAAAAAAAAAAAGGAGCCTGTGTCCAGTTGCAAAATATATCTGGGCTTCCTCTCCTCTTCTACTGTGAATCAATACACACAGAGATTCAATACAGGTCGACCGAGGGATAGATGAGAAGGGGAAAACAAACACTGAACACCCCAGAAGGGAACCACAGGTAGAGACAGTCTTGGAGAAAAGCACTGACGGAAGGTGCCATCGCTGAGCTGGACCGGCGTTACTGAGACATGAGGCTGCAGAGAACACCCAGGCAGGCTCAGAACAAAGGCTGCGTTGGGACAGGGGCTGACACCTCAAAGCATTATGGCTTTCTACCTCCTGATCAAGAAATCCGATTAAAATCCAAATTTTACGGTGTAGCCTGTCCGTGGTTCTTTGGGAACTGGCAGGAAGGACACGCAGAGTAGGGGCCAAACTCTCTCACTGTTCAAAACCCAGGCACCAACTAAACCTCAGCCTCAGGTTTCGCAGGAGCATTTCAGGTTCCTGTGTCACACAACTGAATGCCTTTCCCGGAGGGGCACCGACCTGCACTGTGACACGGGATGGGGAGGCAGGAGCTGCCCTGGAACAGCAGGGATGGCGAAACACAAGCTGCACGCCCTGACACGGCAGCTCCGGCCGCACGCTGCCGCCTGGCACACGCCAACTACTTTGTAGGAACAACCGATGAATTACTGAACAATTTATCAAATATCAGCAATACCACGCTGCGCGTGAGGGACCGCGTACGCTGCCTGAGCAGTTATATTTATAACATAAATATTTATTTACAGTCGTGTACGTGGTTGGGAGGGAGTGGGTGCTCCGAGTTATTTTTGATGTCTCCAGAAGCTACTTACTGGGGTGGAGCGATAAAAGACTGAGTCTCCTGGCAGTTACTCTGTTCCTCGTGGCTGCAGATAGAGGGGAACTACTTTGGTCTCGTGCTATTTGGTGTCGCATACAGTTCCTCAAGGCTTAAAAAAATGCATGAGAGCATGCATGTAATTAATGCAATTAAAAAAAAACACATAAGCACCAGTGCCAAGATTTTTAGATTCTTTAGAAATCCAAAGGCAGGGCACCAGTATAATACAGTAGGCGCTGAAGGAGATTCCTCCATCTACCATGCCTCACTGTAGCATTTACTTACCCAACTGCATAAGTACATCTTGAAACTGCTAAGTGCTCAATTAATATTCTTTTCTTTTATGCTTTATTATCGGCTCTTTTACCAATGACAGCTTGAGTACACTTTATTTGTACCCACAGAATAATCAACGGAAGAAACTCATCTCCGTAACTATGGCATCTACAAACAACAGCCAGCTGATAATTAATCCATACCTATTCAGAAAATTAGCTCTGATTACTCAAAACATTTTATTGCAAAACCCTCAATCGAGAACATTTAGTTTACTGCCACAAATAGAAGTACAGCAATGAACTCAACCTGAGCGTTTCGCTGGGCAGAGCTTCTGGCTGTCTGGTACCATCCCTGCCACTTGTTGGGAGACATTAGCCATGGGTTTGGGAGAAAAAATGAACACACAAGGTTTAAAAGGTGTGTAAGATGCGAAGGGAGGGAGGCAGGGGGTGAGGCTGATACGAGGGAATCTTTTGCAAAGGTGACTACTCACCAGCAAAGGGGCAGGTTTAATGAGAAGGAAACTATCCACCAAAAACCTGGTTTTGCATGACTGTAGCACAGCTTTTATGCCTTGAGGTAGGTGGAAGATACTCAAACTCCCTTCCCTTTCCCTCTTTTATCAGAAAACCCCCCTCTCTGATAGACTAGGCCTATTCTGAGTCCCTCTGTCAAAAATTCCCACTTAAGTCCCGAGATTTTCAACACCTGCAGAGGACATGAACAGCTTCACAGCCGGAGGTGTAAGAAGAACCCTGGCGCTGTGTGACCTGGGTAAAAGTGGAGGTCAAACCTTGGCAAAGGCAAAACTCCCCAGCAAACAGTTTGCCTGAACCGTGAGAGTTTTCCAGACTTCCACAGCACTCGCAGCTCACGCTGGGATGAGCTGGAGACATTCCGGCTGCGTTAGGGAGAAGCCTGGCACAGTTGACGCCCAGCTCGGAGTGCCGTGGCTGCTTCCAGCCCCCCCCTCTCCACGTGCACGCAGGCAGCTGCCCATGCTCCCCGTGCCAGCTCCTGGGACGCCGCAGCATGGATCACGCAGTTAATCCAGCTGGAAAGGCGTTTTGATTTCTTTCCGTGAGTTCAGCCTGCAGCCATGCCGGCCCCCTCATCTGGCTCTCCTTCCTTGGGCCTGATCCAGCACTCAGCCAACCATGTGCTCAGTCATTAAGTTAACCAAAAATCCCCTCCCAAAAAGTGAAGGTTAATCAGGATTTTGTACTTATCTCTACCAAAAACGTTCAATTTTGTGCTCGTGAACAGGCACTCCCAGAGGTAGGGCTGCGTGGGCAAGGTCTTCACTGGGATGGCCAAAACCCAGGTCTAAGTCTCTGCTGTTGTGGTTTTTTCATAGTTATAAGAAATCAAATATGGGAAACTATTTCCCCTAGATGACCCAATATTAGGAGAATGTGGCCTGAGATCTCTGGAGGAAGAGCTTAACCTTGTGTTTTTCAAATCTCTGCTGCACATTAAGTTCACCAGTTGCTCTTGGTTTGTACAACAGCCCATCCAGAATTGTGTCTCGATGCCAAAAACATCTCCCAAACAAACATTTGCTGAAGTTGGTAAGAATTGCAACTGGATTGTAAAGTTACCTTCTCAGAGCTGCATTTTCCACTAAATTTTTTCATTAGAAGAGAACTGATGAGCTCTGCTGGAAAAATGTAATCATCAGCACGGCATCATGTTCAGGACACTTGTCAGATTGTAAGGGTCCTCTCCAAAGTTTGCAGCACTACATAGTCTTCGCCTAAGTGGAAAATAAAGCTCCACCTGTCTAGTTAAAAATAAGGTTGGCGAAGTACAAAGCGCCACTACAACAGCCTAGAGGAAAAAAAAGCTGAAATTTGCTTTGTGGCTTATCTTCAAGCAGCAGCACTCGCAGTCAAGACACCCCATCTGTGAAGCAATGTTGGCACAGGAGCACCAAAGCGCTGGTGGCAAGCTCTGGAGGTAAAAAATCAGCAAAACATCTGTTATTCTACAGTTGTTCCTCACCCCATGTCCACACCAAGGGATGGTGGACGAGATATCTTTGGCCCAACGCACAGTTGCTTCGTTCCCTCACCTCCCGCGCCGACCCCAGGGCTCTCTGCAGAGCGTGGGGATGGCCAGTACGTTCAGGGTTGGGCACTGTTAAGACTTAAAATTGCGTTATCTGAACATATAGGTCACAAACCTGGTATCTAAGGTCCCTATGAACTGTTGAAGGTACACGAATACCTGTCCCTCGTAGGAGATGTCCTCTCTACAACGTGTGCCTTGCTCCCGGGAGCTCCAGCGCCCTGAGCCGACGCTGTTCCCCACCTGCCTCTGACCTGCATTCTCAGGTTGATTCAGCCCCCGTTTCCAAGCCCTGTGACACTCTCAGGGGGTGACGGTCTGTCTGGAGGCCACTGAGAGCTTCTAAGAGTTGAGCCCACTTGTACAGGGCCCAAAACTGGCTCCGCAGGAGGAAAGGTGAGAGCAGCTGTGTGGGATGGGTGTTAATTAACCACTGAGACGAATCAGCGGTGTAATCCCTACGTCAGAAAATAACTGCAAATCAAAGACCCGACTGGCAGACAGAACTAAGTCTCCTGAC